ATGCAGGCTCTCCCAGTAGGGAAAGGCTAAACCTGGTTATCAAACCCTGCCCCAGACCACTGGCCCCCCGCCCGGCACAGCTGTCTTCTCTGCCGGCTCCTCACCTGGCAGCCCTCTCACCTGTTGCCCTCAGCAGTCCAGGGAGCTTCTGTCATGAGAATCCTGAGATGATTCATCAGTGAGGTGGCACAAGCTGCAGGGCACAGAGAAGAGGGGCAAGGCATGGCAGGGCCCACCCGAGAGCGCTCCCAGACCATGGCCCCAGGCGGGGTGCGGCAGGCATCACCCCACCTAGACCTGGGAACAGTNGCCCACAGCTGGACCATCACCCCACCTAGACCTGGGAACAGTCTTACAAAGAGGCGCTCAGCCCAGGGGGGCTCCGGGCTCCGCCAGACCTAGGCCTGAGCTGGAGCTAAGGGAGACCGTCAGAAGTGAGGCCAGCAGCCCACCCCACCCCACCAGTCCCGTTAGAAACACAAATCAACCTGCCCCGGGAGCTTACCTTCGTCTCACCTGCTCTATCCGGCTGCGCATAACATCATCTCTCACCTCACTTGGCACTTGGAAGATGCGGGTATGGCTGCAATACACCATTCAAAGCCTGGGATTTTTCCAGTTTTTTTTTTTCACTAGGCATCATGAAACTGCTAGGGTCACAGTCATGTGAATTAGTGTTGATCCCATTGCCACCAACTTTTCAGCTGGTCCTTGACCCTTCCAATACCAGGAGCTCAAAGTGTTCTTTTTACAAACAAAGTACCCCTGACCCACCCAATAATCTTGGGAAATTGCAAATGGTTCTAAGGGGTGTGGAGGAAGCAGGTTCAATGCTTTTACTAAAATTAGACAGCAGTGCAGTGGTCTTAAAAGACATGGACTTCACCCCTCCTGAATTCCTCTCCAACTTCGTTATCAGCTCTTTATGATCGGCATTGTGCCACAGTCACCGTGGTTTAGAGATACTCCTAGAAAATTCTATCACAAAGAATCGGCAGGCACTTCATTGGGCTGTTGTTTTTATTTCACCCTGCGGGATTTGTCTCCCTCCCTCCCCATGGTCCCCTTTCCTGTCCTTCCCAACTGCATGGGCCCCTCCTCCGCTCACAGGCTCTCCACTCCAGTGAAATCAGCCTGCCCACTGGCTCCCCCACCTCCGTGTCTGCTGAAACGGCCTTCCCTGATAACGCCTGGCTCTAGATATGTTCTTTGTAGCTTTTAATGTGAGACAGAATCCATACTGTCTGGGGGAGGTAGGTGTGCTCGTGAATATCGCTCATGACAGGAGGAGCTGGGTCAGTGCCCACAGAGAGAAGAAAGATGAAGGGGTTCCAGAGAAAGGAGAGATTAGCCCCAACAGAAGGGGTAGAGGAGAGGCCTCAGAGAAGAAGGGGCCATGGGACTGGGCCTTGGAGGCCAGATCCAACTGGCTAAATTACCAAGGCTCTTGCATCTGTGGGAGGCCCACCCCCGCCCGTTTAACAAGGCCCTGCCCGGTTCATGGGTCAGTCCAAACAAATGTCCTGCAGGAAACCTTTCCTGAGTACCTGGCAGCCAGCCTAGGACTGCTGCGACCCGGGCCCCCACACTTAGCTCTCACAGATATTCCTCAGGCCTTCTCGTTCCTTAACACTCACCCACTTTATCCATCTAGTTAACTTTCTTCCCTTGAGACTGGGGACTCTGATTATTTTTCTCTCTCTCTTCCAGAGGGCCTAGCAGACATCCAGTGGTCGGAGACACATCTACAAATAAGTGAGTCTCCACTGATGCTTCATAAAGGGATGTGTGTTCCCTGGCTGTGCACTTTCTGATGCAAATAGGTGGACTGTAGGGGAACTTACAGAGTTCATTGATTTAAAATCTCCATAGAATCCAGAGTGGAAAAGTTATATAGAGATGACTGTGGTCCCTGCAGGGTGTCTTTAAAACTCTAACCTAGTTGTGCCGCATGGCTAAGGTTTAAAAAAACGGGAAGGTGATGTGCGTAGCATCTACTCCAAGGAACTGCAACACTTCGAGTCCCGAGTGCAGCCGCGCCAGGCACCGACACGCCTCCCACGTGCAAGGCTGTGGTCGGACTACAGTCACCAACATTTACGATTTTACTTGTTGGAAGGTTTTCCATGCAAAAAATCTTTCCCAGGGAGGTCTCCAATTCCCTTCCTGTTACGAAATTACTGAGGAGTTGAATCCCCATTTAAAATGCTAATGCCACTGGAAGGAGTAAACGCCTGAAAATTGGATATCCTGAAGCAAAAATAAATTTCTTGAGAAATATATCCTCTTTGATAGAAGAGGGAAAAGCTGGCAGTGAGGGAATGAAACGTAAGAAGAGCCTACAGAGATGAGAGGGCTCCTTCACAGTTTAATCCCAGGGTTCTCCTACTGGTAAAAGAGACCCAGAGTGAGCACGCGTCCCAGAAAGGGAGTAGGGAAGCGTATGCCAAGGGGGTGAGCCAACCGGTTCCAGGCCTGCTCTCTCTGCCTGGAGCTAGCAGTTCAGCGCCAGGATGGGGAATGCCTGTGCTCCCGCAAGCGCAGCGGGGGGGCTGGCAGAGCCACCAGAGCTGGGGCACATAATTCTAGCCTGGGCGCCTGGAAACCTCCTCTCACCTCCATCACAGATGAAGGCTTTCTTTGGCTTTTGCATTTTAAGAGCCTTTTTTTTTTTTTTTTAGCTCTTTAAAGTGCAGCCACTTCTGAACAAATCAACTGCAAAAATAACAGGAGCCTGAAGTTTATTCAGAAGCACTTAGGAAATGGTGAGCAATCTCAGTTTTCCAACCCCTAAAGGCGTGTGTGTGTGTGTGTGTGTGTGTGTTGTTGTTGTTAATCGTCACCCGAGCATATTTTTTCTGATTTTAGAGAGAGTGGAAGAGAGGGAGGGAGAGGGAGAGAGAGGGAAATAGAGAAAGAAAGAGAGGCATCGATGTGAGAGAGACACATCTATTGGCTGCCTCCTCCAGGCGCCCAGATATCTGGGGATCAAACTGGCAACCCAGGCATGTGCCCTTCTGAAGTTTATTCGGAAGCATTTAGGAAACGGTGAGCAATCCGTTTTCCATCCCCAAAATTAATTTTAAAACTTAGGAATGACCCAGGCTTTCAAGATGGCTAAAATATTCCCATAAGGTCCCAAAGTAAGGCTGCACATGTTCTCGGCCAAAGGAGCCAGGACCTCTGGAGGAGAATGGCTGTGGGTTTGTGTCAGCCAGAGGGCCTGGGGAGGGGGCCTGCGCCTCCTTTGCTTCTCCCTCCCCACAACTTGGCTCAGAGCAAATGAGACCTGCTTTACCTCCATCTTATGAACTGGATTCTTGTCCTTTCCTCCAGGACTTCTTGACTCGGTGTTGCTAACAAATCAGACTTTGAGAGATGGTGCTTCACCTAGGGAATTCGGGTAGGGTCCACGGGGTCACTGCCCAGCAAGGACTCCATGGCTAAGGTGGAGCCCAGCCCCAAAGAGCTCCTCCCACTTGCCCAAGATCCTTTGCAGTAGGACC